GCCTGACGCCCCCCCCCCCCGCCCCACTGCCACAGGGTTTGGAGGGGCTGGGAGGCACAGTGGATGATCCAGCTCCAGCTTCTCGGCATTGACTTGGCTCACGTGGGGCTGGCACTCACCCAGGCTGGGCCTTTTCTGGCCAGGGTCAACCTGCTCTGGACCAGGCCCTGACCCCTAATGTCCCCACCCTGTGTGGTAAAGAAGGGACCACCAGGGGATTTCCCCGAGGCCTTGGGCCCATATTCCAGCCCCAGGGTCTCCTCCTGGACCCTGACCCTCACTCTCCAGACCTCATGTGGAGGCTCCCTGGGGTCACCTGTCCCCTGAACAAGCTCAGGTACCAGCTGTTAGCAACACTGCCTTATTTACTTCCACATGAACGGGGCCACAGAGAGGAAGGCTGCATTGCTGAAGGGGACCCTGAGGACTCCTGCAGAGGGGCTGCCTGCTGAGACCTGCAGCAGTGGCAGTGCCCAGGCAGGATGGGCTGGATGCTGAGGGCAGCCCCCACGTCCCCAACCCGTCAACACACTGAGCCTGGGGGGTGAGGTGGTGGGGAGGGGAGCCCACCAGTAGGACAGCAGTGTCCTGAGAGGAGGCCAGGGTGCATCTGTTGAGAATGGGAAGTTTGGTTCAAGGCAGGTGTTTCCATCCGAGAAAGCTTGTTTGGGATTGGGAGCGATGCCCAGGAGACAGTCGGGACAGTGGACGCAGTGGGGAGAAGGTCCCGGAGTCTTTAACTGCTGCTGCTTCACATTGAAGAGCTGGTGGTCGCTTGGCAGGCTGCAGGAAGGGACGAGTGGGTGAGCCGTTTGCCTGGGCCCAGGCTCTGGGATGGCACAGCCCCAGCCGTGGGGGGAGGGGGCCCCTCAGTATCCAAGCAGTGGGGGGCTGGGGGGGATGGTTTCGATTCTTCAGACTGGGGAAAATGAGCAGCAATCGATATCGCTGGCTGTCATTACAAACCAGCTCAGCTCTGGTTTCCAAATCAATACTAAATAATTGGGAGATTTGATCCCCTTACCCACCAGCCGCCAGTAACTGAAGGAATGAATGAATGTGAAAAATTTTTAAATGAGACCCGTGAATGAAGGGGGTCCTGGGGTGAATGGGGGGTCCTGTGGTGAATGGGGGAGCAGGGGGCATGGACCAGTCCTGGGGTCACGAAGGCCCCATAAGGAGCTGGGGTTTGACTCTGTAGTCATGGGGCACCAGGGAAGGCCAGATGGGGGTGCATCTGAGAGGGGCTGTCCGGGGGCCCAGGTGGGCGATGAGTAGGCTGGAGGGACTAGGACAGCTGCTTAGGACATGACGCAGTCTGGGTCACTGCCAGGAGGGTCTGTGGCGGGAGAGGAAGGTGGGTGCAGGTGCAGGGGAGCACAGAGGGGTCGAGGGGGAGGGGCGGAGGCATGGGAGAGGGTGGGGCCTCTCCTTCCCTATGTCTGTCCTCTTCCCCGTGGCACCCTGCTGGGAAAATGGGGGATTTGTGGAGAAAACCAAAGGCAGGGCTCAGCGCCTGCCTGGGCTGACCCTCCCAATCCCCCCTGGAGGGCAGGAAGTGGGTGGAAAGGCAGGGGATTTTCCTCGCGGATCCCACCAATGCCTCCCACCTGATTTCCTCCGGGTGCCCCACCTGGCGGGAGCTGCACCTGGGTTGAGTCTTTGAGTCTGGGGATAGCCAGGTGACTCTTCTGCAGCCAGGTGACTCTTTGGCCTGAACAGCAGGCTGTCTGCCTAGACCTGCCTGTTTGAAGCACAGGGGATGGGGGACGGGGGATGGGGCAGCCGCGCAGGTGCTGTGTGGGGCACACCCTGCACCCCACCCTGGGATCCAGGATGAATCCACTGCTCTGATTTGCTTCCCACTGCGTCCTGGGCAGGCGGGCCAGGCTTCCTGGAGAGGTGGGGGCTGGCCTCAGCTGAGCTCGGGCCTGGTCAGGCAAGGGGCCTGGTGGGTCAGCTTCTCCTTTGGGACTCCCTGGGGCAGGCCCTGTGACACATGGGCCAGGTGAGGGCCCTTGGGCTAAGCACTGCCTCCAGCTCTTCCATGGGGAAGCTGAGCCCGTGGCTGAGGGTGGCCTGGCGGACAGTGGGTCTCTGTGTGTCCTCCTCTGTCTCTTCAATCCCTGGCTCCACGCCCTTCCTCCAGTACCTCCACCTTGCCCTGGGGTCCCTTCTGTTTCTTTTAGGCCTGGTTCTCTCGCTTTCAAGGGTGGCGGTGGGGGAACTTGGTGTTTTGTACCCTGGGTGGGCAGAGC